TGTAAAATTATCGCGATTCTTATCCCTCCGTAGCTATGGTAAAAACAGAACCGGATTCCCTTAGGTCGCCGGACGGAATCAGATCAAAGACAGGGACACATAACAGTATGTGAGCTCAGCATCCTGGTACTTAATTCACTACTTTCAAGTATACAAGAGGTATCCTAACCATGTAGATTGCGGTCAACACAACCGACGTGAGTGGGGGGTTTTTTAAATTTAGATATTGGATTATGGGACACTTAGCCACTTAGGGCTTGTTGTGATTTACACTGAACTGAACTGAACTGAACTGATTAGAATTAAACTGAACTTATTAGACTGAATTGAACTAAACTGAACTATTTGACTATTGATTAGTGATTTTTAACAATGGATTAATGATATTTGATTATTATTATTATTATTATTATATATTTAATATATATACATATACGTATTAAAAATAAAATTTTGATTTTTTAACACCTAAAAAAAAAAACACGAAAATGATTTTTAACACTACAAATAAAAATACTTTTATTCTAACACCAAAAAAAGTTTAAAAATTTGATTTTACCACCACTTAACAATAGCCGTTAGAAATTCAGTTAAGTGGGGTCAATGGTGTCACGTGTCGCCATATTATTAGTTTAGAAAAAAATTAAAAAAAAATAACCATAAAACTAACCAATCCACCCCAGCCCCACCAAAGGCACCGCGGTGCCACCACAGCGTCAACCTTACCTTCTCGTTCCCAGTCTAAACTCACCAAAAAAAACCCCTCCTTCTCTTTCCCCCTCCCCAAAACCGACAATTACACCTCCAACGACCACAATCTAACGCCTTTCATTTTTCAAACCAACCAAAAATCGGCCCTAAATCGGTCACTAACGGTCAAAATCGACCGGTTTATGATCGAAATCAACCATTCCGGCCCTAAATCAGTCGATTCCGGCCATTTTTGGTGACCGATTGATGGGTTACGAACAACGGTGGCCGTTTTTTGTGGCAGTTGGGGAGAGATGTCAGTTTAGGGAGGAGGAAAGGGAGATGTGAATTTCCCGGTGACTGGGCTGCAAACGAGGTTGTTATGTTGAGGTATATGATGGTGGCGCGCTGTCGGAGGTGGGGCTGACGGAGGGGGTCAGGTGGCTGGGGTAGTTTTAGGGTTTTTGTTTTTTTTATTTATTTTTTAGTATTTTGGACCAATTATATGCTGACACGTAGACATTGTCAGCCTAACAGATTCTATCCATGAATCAGTTATGTGGTTGTAAAAGCCACTTTTTGAAAATTTTGGTGTATATTATATATATATATATATATATATATATATATATATATATATATATATATATATATATATATATATATATATATATATATATATATATTAAAAAAAAATTTAAAAAAACCAAAAAAGTTTTTAAAAAATTAATAAAAAAAATGAAACAAAAATAAAAAAAATAAAAAGCAACGATCATGGAATGTGATGGATGTGGCATGTGTGTTCACATAACAATATAACATGTTGTTTACTCACATTAACGTAGGCTACGAAGGCAGTGCAAATGATACCACCGTTTGGAGGCGAAGTTTAGGAGATGCAAGAATGGGATTCCCTCATCTACCGTCTAGTACAAACTAAATGACATTGTCATGAATAAAATGGGAAAATCCATTAGTTTGATAAACTAACATTATGATTATTGTATAGGAAAATACTATGTGGTCGATTCAGCGTATCATAATACACTCGGGTACTTGAGTCCACATGTAGAACATCATTTGAGGTATTATTTGCTTGATTTCAAGAGAACAAGTCGTCCACAAGGAATGTTTGAGCATTGAGATTTCAATTACCTACACTCTTCTTGTCGAAATGTACGTAATAGAGCGGATTTTTTGCGGTTCTCGATATGAAAAATAGGTGGAAGGTTCTACGTCGTAATTGTTGTTTGTTGTACTCTACACAATTTTATTCGTTTACATGAACTAGGGATTTCATTCACGCACCAAGTTGAAGTCATGGAGCCAACAGAAGATCATACTATGTGCGATCTTAACAGAAAAGCAACTATGGATAGTGTACGAGGAAATTCAAACCAGAACAAGTGCACCAGAAAGAAAAAAAAAATAATAATAAATAATGTAACAAATACGAAGTACATTGATCTGGAATTTGTAATAGGGTTTCAAACATTCAATGATTCATTCATTCAGCACTTCATGTTCTTTTGAAAATATACAAAAATGGTAACTTTTTGCAATGATAAACTATGCATTAGAAGCAAAGCGAACAATATATATACACCTATATTATATTGTATTGGCTTCATTTTTCAAAAAAAAAAAAAAACAAAAATTGTATTAGCTTCATATTATATAAATAGTTTAATGATGCCATAATCTGTATACTTCTGCAACAATCAAACTCTTGATAATTAGATATCCCTCTTTTTTTAGCATTCATTTTTTTCTCACATTTAAGCTTCTATCAATGCATGGCAGGAAGTCATGGACGGTTGGCTGGACGGTGAGTGGTGGTTTGATGTTGAACAGTGACGGTGGATTGACAGTTGGTGGGTGAGAAGAAGTGGTGGGTGGGAAGGAGTGGTGGCAGGACGGTGGTTGGGTGGTAACGGAAATAGTAACGGTGTCTGTCAAGTGGTAGTGATTTTTAAAAAAAAACTCTGATTTAGGTGGTAACAATTTAAAATAAAAAATTAAAGCGCGTTGTAGTAAATGTGAAACAGGGTCCTTTTGCTGGTAGCAAATGTGAAATTTTCCTTTAATATATTGTAAAAAAAAAAAAGGACAGTTTTCAAATGGCTATAATAAAATTGTGGCCATTGTAACTTAGTAAATCACAACCCTCTAATTAAAAAAACGGAAATTTCACCTAATGCCCTTGAGTTATTTTTTTATTCACCAAATACGCATCAAAACTTTCAAATTCACCATATACTCCTGAATTTAATAAAAATGTCACCACATGCCCAAATGACTAACGGACGTTAACTCCGTTAGTCATTAGGGTTAAGTATACCACGTGGCATTAATTTATTGGTTGTCTTTCAATTAATAAGATTTAAATATATTTATTTAGTAATTTTTTTGTAAAAAAGGAAATTTAGCAAAAAAACCACCTTTTAAATCTTGTCTTTTGCATTTAACCACCTTTTAAAAAAATGTTGCAAAAAACCACCAATTTTAAAAATTTTGTTGCAACTTACCACCAATTTAATGTAAAACAATTGATAAATTTGGCTAAAAAAGTGGTAATTTGTAACAAAATTTTTAAAATTGGTGGTTTTTTGCAACATTTTTTTTAAAAGGTGGTTAAATGCAAAAAATAAGGTTTAAAAGGTGGTTTTTTTGCAAAATTTCCTTAAAAAAGCCAACCCCACCCCTCCACAACCCAACCCCAACAACCAGCCTACTGCCACCGCCACCACCCAAGTCTCAGCAGCTTATCCCCACCGCGCTAACGACCCAGCCCTGAACCACCGCGTCGGTGGCCATCCCAGCCAGCCCGCGTCAGTGACGCAACCCATCCACCCTTCCCTCGATTTGTAAATCTCCTTTTCTCCCTCGAAAATCCCTCCCTTCCCCAGTCCACGTCGGCATCCGAATCCCCTCCCCCCTTCGGCGATATCGCCCCTCCCTGTTTCGGCGAACCCAAATCCCCCTCCCCCTGCTATCTCCAACCCATGAACCCCCAAACCGAATCCCAAAATCAAAAACCCCAAAAATTGAAACCTAGGGTCTTCATTTTGGGGTTTTAATGTTCGAGGTGGTGGTTTTTGACTTAGGTGGGCAGCAACGGTGTGGGGGAGGGGATTAGGCTACCGACAAAGGGGTTTGGGTATGATTTCCAGATTTTCGGCTCAGGTTGTTAGGCGGGGAGGGGTTTTGCGATTCAAAGCAATGAGGGAAAACGGTGCAGTGGTTTAGGGAATGAGCGAGCACCAGCGCGGGGTTGGCGGAAGGGGCGGCGCTAGTGTAGTGGGGAGGCTGGCGGGTGGCGGTTGTAGGGAGGTGGTCGATTTAGCTTAGGGTGAAGGATAGGGGACAAGAGTTGTTTCCGGAAAGATGTTGGCAGATAGGGGTGGTTTTAGGGGAGGAGAAAGGGTGTCATGGGTTAGGGATTTGGGGAGGGGGTGTCGAGGGTGGGGGTTGGCCGCCTCGCTGGCAGATAGGGACCACCAACATCGGTTCCAGATTGGGTTGGGGGACCATCGGTGCCGGCGGCCTCTGGCAAGGGCCGAGGTTGGTTTAGTAGGGGAGGGGGTGGCTGGGGGGGGTTTAATTTCTTTTTTTTGTTTTTTTATATTAATTAAAAGAGAACCAATTGCAGCATTCCACGTGGCATAGTTAACCTTAATGACTAACGGAATTAACCGCCAATAGTCATTAAGGGCATATGGTGACATTTTTGTGAAACTCAATCAAGTGTATACAGTGTATTTAAAAAGTTTCATGGGTATATGGTGAATAAAAAAATAACTCAGGGACATTTGGTGAAATTTCTGTTAATAAAATTCATCATATCCATCCATTTAGTTGACTTTAAAATATGGTTACGAGTATTAAAAAAATAATAATAAAAAAAATTAATTTTTTTAATACCACAAATTTTGGTCGAGATGAAATTTCTAATTTATCTTACTTGATGTTTTCAATTTTTCCATCTTCGATATCATAGGTTTCTTGAAAATTATAGACAAATTTTACATTTTTTTTTTATCATCTTCTTCTTTTTTCCCTCTCTTTTTCTGGCTTTCTTTAATGGATCTGAGGATGATTTATTTTTTTGATAAATTTGATGCAAAATTATGGGCCTTGTGAAGCTGTAAAATATAAGGAAAATTTGTCAGGAATATTATGACCTTTACCCAGTCTTCCATAAATATTATGACCTTTTGTTTATCCCGGAATAAAATGACCTTTGACAAGGATCTTCTCTAAATAGGACATTTTACCTTTAACCAGTTGTGACTTGCTCTTTAGGTGGGTGGTCAACCCTTGACTTCTATTTCCCTCCAAATGAAGTCTACGTGGCATTAATTACCCAAACACCCATTAATTTCACTCTCTCTTTGCCTCTCCCAGTCTCTCTCATCCCTCTTTGAATTTTCCTATTAAGGCAATTCATGTAAACACGTTTTAACCACAAAATTGCTCAGAGTCATTAAATTGCGCATGCAATTGGAGTGTTCCGGAGATTATTGGAGCGATTGTTGGTGAGCAAAAGCAAAGTTGGTATTTAAAGAAGTTCGAGCCGAAATTATGGTACTGAGGTAAGTCTTTGTTACTTTAATTTGGGATTTGTTGGTGGGATTGTAGTGGGATTATGCTTAAGGACCAATTGAAGTGCGATATTGCTTAAAGATTGATTTTTTTTTTTGTTAAATTTGTGTAGTTAGATGAAGTACTTGTTGTTATTGTTGTTTTTGTTTGTAATTTTAGCCTAAAATTTGAGTAATTTAGGGCTGATAGCTATGTTTTATGTTGATTTTAATAATTTGAATCATATTGATATAGTTGGTTGATGTGTGTTTTTGTTGGAAGTGAAAAGTGAAGTGTGTATTTGTATATGCTTAGGTAATTATGTCTGCGGTTTTTTGTACGGTTAGTATAAAAGTTTGGCATGGTGGTTCCTTCAAGCATGTTAACAATGGGGAAATGGTAGGGGTGGGAGGGTGATCTTAGGAGGCCAAGGTGCAAGAGGTGTAACCCAAGCAGCTGCTAGAAAAGGTGTGTTTCTTAGCCAACCTACTGCATCAGGTCAAGGAACACAGAGAACAAAAGGGAGAGGAACTGGACGAGGCAATGGCAGAGGCAGGACTAAGGTATAAATCCTACTTATTTTAACCATGCATCTTGCTATTAATGAGTGTGGCCCTAACAATGTTGTTTTGTTCTTCACAGGTCCCAATAGGAGTTGGAGTGTTGTTTAGTTCAGATGGGACACCACTTTCACAGGTATAATTATGTGATTGCTTCACATATTTTCATTCTTTGCATATCAAACAGGTTTTAACTTTTTTTGTGTTTTGCAGGGGGCTAACACTAGAGGAGGGGATAGAAGAAAGGGAAGAGGTCGTGGAAGAGGATCACAGTCCACCCAATAACTGCAATCTGACCTTCACTTGTGCCTTTTGTTTATGAACTTTGTGAACAAAATCTAAGACCTTTATTTAGTTTAATGCCTTGCCAGCATTTTGTCTGTAATGAAGTACTAACCACTATGCTTATTTTGCATGAACAATTATCATTTTGTTTCACAAAGTACTGGTGGATGTACTAAACTGAAGTTGTTTTGCAATGCAATGTACACTTTATGCTGTTATGTTATGCTCGCAAAATTAATACTTAATTAGTAGAAACTGAAACCATTTTATTCAACTTAAGTGGTGATACAAAGTCAAACCTTTAACACAATACAACTTCCTAACATAGCTAATTTTTTGGTATTACAATAACAAAGTACATTATTGAACAGGAGAGAGAGAATTAGCAGAAGATTGCCTTCTTAAAGCCATTTTTTTTTTTATATTTTTATGAACAGGGGAGAGAGAAACAAAGGGGCTAAATGAATAAGAATGGGAATCTTTTTACATGGCGAAAATTCCCAAAGGTCATTTACACGTTAGCCATTAACCTGCAAAACCCGGTTACCATGTAAAATGTCCTATTTAGAGAAGATCCTTGTCAAAGGTCATTTTATTCCGGGATAAACAAAAGGTCATAATATTTATGAAAGACCGGGTAAAGGTCATAATATTCCTGACAAATTTTCCAAAATATAATGCGGTAATTAGGTTTATATTGTTGATAAACTATAATCAAATGTTGATTTTTAATTGAGCTGGGAGAATCATTTGAACTAAAAAATTTCAAGAATATGCATCAATGGCAAATTTCATAATTTTCGCTTCAGTTTTTTTTACTTGTAATCAAGATACTTTTTAAAAAAAAAAAAAATTAAAGTCAATTAATAAATGGACAAAATTGAACATTAAAAATATATAAAGGATCAAGATTAAAATTAATTACAATAGCTACAATTTCATTGTAGCCATTGAATAGTCTTCCAAAAAAACATGGTTAAAATTGATTCATGGACAACGTAAAAGTTGAAAATTTTGTTAGAAAAAACCATATATTACAACTATTTTGTTGAAAAAAACCTAATAAATTTTTTTTGGAAAGGAGAAACCAGATTGTAAAATATTTTTGTTGAAGACAACATGAGATCTCTAATCACTCTATTAACCACTAATTTTCCCTTAATTCTTCTAATTAATCATAACTTTCAACAACTATTTAATAATTAAGTTGATTTATAAATAAAAACAAAAAACAACAAAAATCACCCTTACCACCACCAGTCAACCACTCTCTCCTTCTCTCTCTCGCATGGCAGCAACCCCCTCCCGGCCTCGACCATCCCCAGCCGCCGCCTGGAACCCCTCACCCTCGCCGAACCGACCCCCTCCCTTTCCCGGCCCCTTTAATTACAATTTTGTTTATGAAATTTTACTACTATACGTACATATTATCACAAATTGATTTATAGAGTATAGCATAGTTATAAAATAAATGTTGTGTTTAACAAATAAATTTTTAGATTTAAAGGTGATATATTATTTGTAGTTTTGTGTATGTTTGTACTTTTGCTAATAATTTTAGTAGAGATTTTAGTTTGTTGTTCAATCGATTGATTTTTGATGTTTATTAAAAATACATTTATAAATAAGCATGACCACTAGACCTGATCAAGCCTCGCCTAAAAAATTTTCGAGTTCGGACAGACTAAAATAATCCATTTTTTTAGAGAAATTGTTGCTTTGCCTATTAATATAGATTATGACACTATAATTTTTATATTATTGATTTGTAAGTTTTATCAAATTTTATTTGTTGGATATAATTAATTTTCTTAAAAAAATAGACTTACCGTGCATGCATGGCACGGGCCTTAAGCTAGTTCACTATAATAATATGCTTAAGATAAATTGTACTTATATTGCAGTATTGGATAATCTTTCCCTAAAATAAGTGTTTAAGAAAGGGAATTAGTTATTGTGAAATGGCAATGATCAAGTCAAATTGACACTCTAAAAGTTATACTCTGATCCGTATTACGGGTTGGTATTAGTTGGTCCAAGGTTGGAATCACGTTCGTTTTGACAAATGACGGTCATAATATAAATTTAATAATTTTATGTAATAATACTTCATACAGTAGCATCTTTTTCATGTTTATTTTACAAATAAAATCATATCATATCTAAATCATAGAGTAATTATATTACGGAGTATTAAAATTAGTCCATCAATTCCATTTTTTATTATGTCTTATGATCATTGCACATAATTTAATGATATGATGGTGAAAAAATAAATTAATTAATTCCCAATTTAAGTAATAAGTTAAAAAAATATTTTTTAAAAGAAAAATGGGACATGTAAATTTATACAAAACATGCCCAAATAATTATTGGGCAAGTAAATTAGGATTACAAAAATACTTGTACAAGTTTTATTCTTAGGGTGCGTTTTATTCACCTGATTTTTATTTATCTAAATTGATCTTAAATTATTAGACCTTACTAAGGTTTATTTTAGTTGTAATTTGAACTTGGACAGCCCTTATCAAAACTTATTTTCCATGAACTGAACTTATTTGAATTTATCTGAACTTATTAGACCTGAAATAAGTAAAAATAAAGTGAACAAAATAAACCCTAATATAATATAATTAAGTACATCACTTTCAAAGTGAGGTAATTAAGAATAACAAAAGGCGTAAATCGCTTAGATCGAGTCTTTGTCTCGGACATATTTTCTCCATTCTTAAGGTTATGGAGAACATTCACCAGAAATGTGCATCACATAGAGAGGAAATGAGGGATAGCAAAGAAGATGGATATGATGTCCAAATCAACCTAGACGTGCATAACTTGATGAGAAGATCAAATTAAAGTTAAAATATATTACAAGATCAATTATATTAAGAGGATTAGCACTTTAGAAAATAAATAATAGTACAAGGTAGTTCATACTATAAAAAATTTAGCCAGCTATTAATTAGTGTTATTAGGAGTATTATAATTTAAGTTATAAGGACGGCAAATGTGATTATAAATAGAGATAATCTCATATTCACAAACAATTAATTACATAATTAAGTTTGATTAGAAATAAAGAAGAAATACTAAAGCTAGTTTAGATAGATGATGGCGAGCAACAATAGTCTTGCTTTATTCTTTGTGCTCTTTCTTATCCTGAATGTTGTTGCTGACGCTCAAAAGTCTCAAATTGGTACGTAATGTTTCTAATAAAACTTGATATACCATGTATATTATTTAAAACGTACAATATACTTTTCGCTGCACTATTATACCAAGTAGTTTTTGGTGTAGCTGGTATGTGTATGAATTTCACTGTATAGTATGACCTTGATCAGGTTTATGGTTGAGGTTGACTTATATTAGGTGTGGTTTTTGAGGGTGGTAATTGATAGAGTATACAACATATTTCCGGGCCTTAACCATTAGTTTAACCTTTTGGTTGAGATAGTCCACTAACATGGTATCGAAGCCACTGTAACATGGAGGTCATGGGTTCGAATCTCATTTACCCCTCCTTGAAAGTGAAATTAATTCACGTCGTCGGGTATGGGAAGACCTGTGCTGCACCCACATTTCAAGCCCAAAGGGACCAAATTAAAGGAGAGAGCAAGATATATATAAAATCAATGATTATTGTAAAATATTTTCAAAAACGCTAGGAGAAATAAATGTTTTTATTACATAAAAAACAAAACAAAAAACAAAAAGGCCCGGAGAAATAAAGGTTATCCGATCATAAAAAATAAGTTCGGATAAGTAAATAAATATGAAAAGTTAAGTAAACATAACAAAAAAAAAACCCACACATTGCATGCAACACACTCTCTCACACAATACATAATATTTTTTGTTAATCCAGTATTGCCTTACTAGTTAAAGTCCCGTGCAATGCACGGATTTTAATAAATTACATAGTGAATTACAACATTAATATAACAATTATATACTAAAATAATAGAAAAATAATTACTGTAAAATATATACATATAAAAATATTTCGTTTGAGTGCATATAGAAAAATATTATTGCCAAAATGGAAAGTAAATATTATTATAAGCTATAAATATTTTTCATGAAAAAAAGGAAAGATAAAAGTGGAGGGAAAATTTTTAACCAGTGAATGTGTCATCACTGGTTTCGCTTTTAGTATTAAGTTATTGATAAGTTATGCACGTCAAATATTAGAAGTCAATTGGTTATATATATATATATATATATATATATATATATATATATATATATATATATATATATATATATATATATGGCCAATTGACCATATTGGTATATAAGTTAACACCCTTATGACATATTGGTATATAAATTAACAAATTGTGACATTTATCCCTATTTTTTCTTCAGATGAAAGAGCAATCTATCATAAGGGTGTTGGCTATATATATATATATATATATATATATATATATATATATATATATATATATATTTGTCAAGTTTATCTTGTTAGGAATTGTTTTGATCCCTCGTAATTTGGATTGATCCATGCACGTGTTTGATAAAATTATTTGGTGATTAATAGAGGCCAAAATCTGCACCAAGGACAGCAGTAAACTGACCGGCAATTGCAAAAGCAAAGAAGATTGTAAGACGGCCTGCTTGGAAGAGAAAAACATTGAGGTGCTCAACTGCTCACTGGAACTTGTATACAAAATTTCGAGACCATCACTGTTAAGGGCGATTGCCGTACTGTATACAATATTGATTCTAAAGCACAAAAATTTGAAGCGCAAGAGGTTTGTGATCCAGATACAACCACAAAGCTAGATCTTTATACTAAAAGATGTGTTTGCTCTTTTACCTGCTGGAAAACTTCGACTTGATCTGATCTGATCTGATATGAACCCACTAGTTGCGCGCCCTTGCAATGGCTACAATTGTGCTATCATTATTTGTTTATGACCATTTATTTTATCATTGTTGTTTTTTACTTTAATTTGTTGGATTATGTTTTATATTTGAAATAAGCCTTTGATTTTGTTGTTGTGTTGCTGAGGTTGTCATTGTCGTTTGGTGCAATTGTTGTATGAAATGCTTTAATTTTTTGTAATTTATGTTATGATTTTGAATAATTGATGTTAATATTTTGATTATTGATTCAGTGTAAATAAATGTATGTGTAATATCAACAACCCTTCATCATGTCGTTCGACATTGTATGTAGAATCCACTTTGTTTTAATTAATTATACATTATATTGTTTATTTATT